AAATTCAGGAATCTGGCCAAGAGCTTGTTCACACTCATGGCCAAGGGGTGGTAAAAATAGGTGGTTGAGTAATGGTTTTATCACTTCCTCCAAACACCCCTTGAAACCAGTACAGTTGCTAGAGGGGATTGTACACATACCACAGCTGTGATGCTTTGTGGCTGCAGCAAAAACTATAACCCCTCTTGTGTTTGGAAGTTTGAGCAGTACCTCTGCAGTACCTCTGCTGAATATGACCTATTCAAGAGAACGGTGGAGTGCTGCAACCTTCCTGCAACCACATGCAATGCACACAGTTGTGGTGTGGCATAAAACCTTCTGGTCGCCTGTCAGCCAGACAGCAAGGGATGCAGCAAATATAAATGAGCTCTAAGGGGCAAATTGAAAATTTCTTTCTTGCTTTTCAGCATTCACTTTACCATATTTAACCATAGCCTAAGAAGAGGTTCAAGAATCCACCACCAGAATGCTCAATGTGCATCAAGCCCACGTGTAAGAGCATGGGATGTGGTTTAAAAAATAAAATAGAAATGTCTTACTTATGTTGAACTTGTGGAGATTTTCTTTCCCAGAGAGATAGGTTTGTGATCAGTTCTGCCAGATGTTCTACCATTCAGAATTCCAAAAATTCCAAACTTGTGTGACTTTTTTTTCCTAATCTGAGCTCCCATTTTTGATTCATACCTAACAGAAATACTGCTTTCAGTCTCTCTATGATTGAAAATTATGGTGACTATCTTCTCCAAACTGCGGCCCGTGAGCCGGATGTGGCCTTTTGCCTGCCTTTATCAGGGCCTTGAGGCACTATTCCTCCCACTGACACAAATGATGCTGCATCATTTCTTCCACTGACACCTATGATGGGGTGCTACCCCCCCAACTGATACCAACAATCAGACACTAGTCCTGCCACTAAAACCAATGATGGGGCATTGTTTGCTCTCACTGACATTGGGGCATTTCCTACTGTCCGAAGTCCCCCCCCCTAAAGCCTGAAGGACAGCAAACTGGCCCTTTGTTTGGAAAGTTTGTAGACGCCTGTTCTACAACTTTAAGTATACCAAACTCTTTATACTCTCCTGAAATCACCCAATTACCCCTAGTATGCCTGTGTCAGTCTCTTCACTAATGACCGCAGATGTATGGCTATCATCAGGAGGGAATGTCCATGCAGACATGACATTTTAATAAGGTAATCTACATTTGGGGGTTGGCAACAGTTTGATTGCACTCTATGGGGTTGATTGACTAAAGTGCACTTGGAAGTGCTCTGAAAGTTCAATGAAAGTGCAGTTGCTCTAGATCTGAGGGGAACATTCAAGGAAACTAAAAAAACAGCATTTTTGCTTGCACATAATTGGATGAAAAAAAATCAGCTTTGCCTCATTTCAGAGCTTCCCCATGGATATAAAGCAACTGCACATGCAGTGCACAGTATATTTACCTTTAGTAAATCAACCCCAATGTGTTGATCCCACTGTGCCGCCAGCTCCAAGCCTGGCGTCTCCCTTTAAAGAATTGTAGGGCAGCTTTTCCTTTATTTAAATATTATCATTTTTTTTTTATGAATAAGAAAAAAAAGGCAGAAACGTGTTCAGTAAAGCAGATAACATTCTGGCAGGATGAGACGCCTTCCCTGCACTCAGGGTTTTTCCAGAATGTCTGTGCGGAGTTGGGAGGGAAAGGTCAACTGTGTGCACAGCCTGCAGCAAGCAGTATATGTGGTACTTCTAGCTTTGATCTTAATAAAATGAATTTTCTGTGCACACTGTGCTGTACATCCTATAGTAAAGAAACAGGGGTGTAGAGAGAGATCAGGATTACTGACAGCAGCATTCTGTACTGGGCACTTGTTCAGACGTGTTAGGGAGGGAATAGTACTGTGACTGCAAAAATATGTAGTTCTCCCCTGTGCCATCCTCCACACACAAAGCATTTTTATTAAATTGTAGCTTACCAATCTGTAAACATGGTGAAGGTATTCACTTTTATTTTTAGTGTCTTTTTTACATGGTTCACCTGGTGATCCAATAGAACACTTTGGGGGAGATTTACTAAAACTGGAGCATTCAGAATCTGGTGCAGCTGTGCACGGTAACCAATCAGCTTCTAACTTCAGCTTGTTCAATTAAGCTTTGACAATGAAACCTGGAAGCTGATTGTTTTCTATGCAGAGCTACACCAGATTTTGCACGGCTCAGTTTTAGTAAATTTCCCTCTTTGTTTCCTAGAGTGACAGCTATCACTATGTACTGCAGAGGGCAGCAACTGGTCCATTGCAATCAACTACAGCCATATGACAGGTAGATCATGATGTCTCTCCACCCAGGAGGCAGATTAAAATGGCAATGTGAATGCAGAAATTTTCGTCTCTTTCTCGGCTATGGCATTTCATATAAGACAGCTGAGGGGAGACGTTAGAGGACTTTTCTCTTTCTGTCAGGAGCTGCTGAATCTGGGGACTGATGAGTGAATTTTTACAGAAGGAGGAGAAGATTTGTGCTTACTACTTACTCCTGCACTCTGCTTTACTTACTTCTGACCTCTGCACTCTACGTTGTTTACGAATGAACCCTGTACTTTGCAATACCTAATACTGACCCCTCCACTCTGTGGTATTTACTAATGACCCTGCACTCTGCTTTAGTACTGATCCCTGCACTCTACCAACTACTGACCCCTGCATTCTATGTTATTTACTAATGAACCCTGTACTTTGCGTTACCTAATACTGACCCCTCCACTCTGTGGTATTTACTTATGACCCTGCACTCTGCTTTAGTACTGATCCCTGCACTCTACCTACTACTGACCCCTGCATTCTATTTTATTTACTAATGAACCCTGTACTTTGCAATACCTAATACTGACCCCTCCACTCTGTGGTATTTACTAATGACCCTGCACTCTGCTTTAGTACTGATCCCTGCACTCTACCTACTACTGACCCCTGCATTCTATGTTATTTACTAATGAACCCTGTACTTTGCGTTACCTAATACTGACTCCTCCACTCTGTGGTATTTACTAATGACCCTGAATTCTGCTTTCCTACTGATCCCTGCTCTCTACATTACATACTACTGATCCCTGAACTCTTCAAACTCTCCTTACTTTGTCAATCAGGTGTTTCTAGGTTGTCTCTCTATACAAAAGTGCACTGCACCCTAGTGACCTTTGATCTCATCTGTGCTGTTCATGCAGATCTCCACCTCTTCAGGGTTGCCTACCTGTCACCTACATTAATTACTCTACTTTATTAAAAGAAATAAATATAAACATTGCCTATGTTACTTTTTTGATGGTTATTCCTGGATGCACTCACTGCATTAGAATAAATTAACTAAACGCTAAATAATTTTAACAGAGTATGTTATTTACTCTCTTGGTAATTTACTCATCAAAGCATTCAAATCACATGAATCATATTTACATTATTATTTTTTCAAATAAAATAGTTAAACATTAGAAGCCCTTATTTTTCATGAATCAATATCTTTCTCATGAAACTTTATTTTATCTGTATCCAAAATGGCTACATGTTCTGTTTTTCACAATAGATACTGTACCTTAGCATCAACACATTTCATCTACTTGAATCTCATAAGGAGTACTGCTGGTGACAGCAGCCATCAACAACTGTTTTCCAGCGTGGCCATTTTACAGAAGTTGATCTAGCAATTGACTTCTGTTGAAAAGGGAAACCTACACATGAATTGAATTTCAGACAGTTCTTGCTGAACCGGCTGGATTTCGATCCATCTATGGCCAGCTTAAACTTCTCAAATATGACAACTCCAGAATACACTCCTACATAGGTTATGAAGGCCATGGTTTTTACCAGGCTGTGGCATTGGCAATTCTGCCTTCTAACTATATCCGTTGTTCATTTCTTCTGCAGTGGGCTATCTGAGTTTGTAGAACCTTCTATGAGGAATTCTCTTATTTGACACAGCAAGCAAGAATGCTTAAAGGAGGAATTATGTAAAATAAAAATTTAGATACCAGATCAAAGAACCAGAGAAATTGTGATAAATCAATTATCCCTGGTTTCCGCTCTACAGTATTTTCCCTCTGGAGTTCTCCTTGAAGCGTACCCAAGACTGATAATTCATTTTGGTGGATCCAGGCAGGTTCAGTCACTCACCAGTTTTTTTTAACCATTTGCAACCCCTTGCAGGGAAATATTTATTGGGCCACAGCCTCAATCAGGCCACATGCAGGTTGGAATTGAATGTTGACTTATGCAAGAACAAGACCACATACTTCAATCAGGTAAAATCACAGTCACTACAAGGGACAGAGCTGGGAACAATTTTTTTCCAGGATCCCTGAAACTTATTAAAAGCTGCTGGATGACTGAACCAATTAGCATCCGTTTAATTTTTAGTTTTTGGCAGAAGAGTGACTTTTTAAGATTAGGCAGAGGTAATCTTACTGTAATATAACACAGGTTTAGTACATTATAATAATTATAAAAAAAAATCAAGTAAACTGTCATAGGTAATGTCTACAGCGAATTAGTTTCTGAAATGCTTTTTTAAAGTCTTCATTGAAGATGGTATAAATCAGGGGGTTGATTAAGGAATTGAGGTATCCAAGCCACGTGAGGAAGTTAGACATGTCATCAGATATATAACATGCATCACACACATTTACGATAAACTCCTTAACAAAGAATGGAAGCCAGCAAATTACAAATGCCCCCAATATCAAACCTAAAGTGGTGGCAGCTTTGCGTTCTCTATTGCTGGATATCCTTTGTTTCCTCAAGGCTTTCTCGTGTTTCATTTCAGCTAAAGGATTTCTAATTGTAATGTGGATCTTATCAAAATCTGTTGAATGGTCTGAGAAAGACTTTTCTGGTATACATAAGGTAGAACTTTTCCCACATGCCTCCAGAAGAACTTGGCCATTCTGTTCTTTCTCGCAACGACTCACATTCCTTTTGTGATACAAAGATTTTGCCGCTTTGTAAATTTTATAATAAAGAATAAGTATCAACACCAGTGGGATATAAAAGGCTCCAAAGGTAGAGTAAATTGTAAAAACAATGTGATCATGTTTGATGATGCATTCATCTTCACGGTTGTGCCTTTGGTGCCGCCAGAGCAATGCTGGCATAGAGATGAAGATAGAAAATGATCCATACTACAGCAATCATAAAGGCAGCATGCTGAGGTGTTCGTTTTCTGGCGTACTCCACAGCATCGGTGATAGCTCTGTAACGATCCAATGCAATTGCTGAGAGGTGAAGTATTGAACATGTGCAACAGGTAATGTCTACGCTCAACCAGATGTCGCAAACAGCTTGACCCATAACCCAGGTTTCCTTCACAATGTACATGATACTGAAAGGCATGACTAGGACGGCAACCAGAAAATCTGTTACAGCAAGGGAACATATCAGATAGTTGGCAGGGTGGTGAAGTTTCCTTGTCACAATTATTGCAGCAATTACCAGAGAGTTGATTGCAGTTGTCATTAACGTCAAGATAGACAGACTCAGTGATGTAAGAATTTGGGTTGTGATCCCTTTTGTTAGTTGTCCTGAAGTGCAGTTATATTCTGTTGTATTTATTATATCCATATTCTTTCTAAACCCCAAGTTTACCGAGAAAAATCAGTATCTAAAAAAAAAAAAGGAAAGCAGATGGTTAGATGTATAATTATCAAATGAAATATGCTTGGGGATTTTAGAGGGCAACTCTCTTAAAACTGGTACTTCAGTTTTCTGTTCTTGTTGGCAAACTGAATCATATGAAACCATAAGAAAGCATGTACTCACTGACTGCTGAACTCTCAACAGCCACTGCCATTACAAGCTTTAGGATGGTATAATGTAGGAAACTCAAAACTTGGGAGTCCAACACTCAGGGAGTAAATGCTTCCTTATGGCTTCATGGGCAGGGAAGAGACAAACCACTGTAGGAATTTCTGTTACTGCAAACCCAGAAGCATATTAAAAATCTGCAAAATTGTGTTTATAAATATCTTTAATATCATATGACCCATCAGAAAAATGTTTCCTGTGGTGAGATGAAATAACTGAGACTACAACATGCAGTATTTGGTAAATCGACCCTCTCCATTCCTAAAGCATGTACACATAGAAATACATTCAAAATTCATTAGCTGTGTAGCACTACCCCCTTGGGGATTGCTAAGGATTTGGGTCCCCCTATAGTCCTGCACAGCCAGGCAACCTGCATTCTCCATACAAGTTTGCATCCAGAGTCAGTCCTAGGGCTTTGTTTTTTAGGTTTATTAAGGGGATTTAGAATTGGGATAGGGTAAGGGGGGGTGTTGGATGTCCAAGGGAAATGACAAACTTCCTGGAACTATTCACAAGCTTTCTCTGTAGCACAGTGTCTGTTGGAGAGCTAGCCAGCATCTCCTTGATGTACCACCCTAGACTCTAGATGTATTTCTCCTCTTCACTCAGCAATCTGGAGTTATCCCTGAGCAGAGGATCCAGTTCCTGTCCCTTTAAATGGGTGATCAGTCACAGTAGGGTTCTAATCTGGTTTTCCACCAGAGTGCTCCTTCCCATATCTGCCCAGGGTGTCTAGGTGTATTTACTCAGATTGTTTCCTGTACTGCTTATAGGTTAAACTATCATCTGGCTGCTCCTTCGCTGCCATACAAGTGGTGCTCTCTCAGGGGGCTAGTGAGTTCCAAGCTTTCCTCCTTTCCTGGTCCAGGCCTGCATGTAAGCCCATCCTACTGGTCCTCCTGCAGCCTCCTTCCTTCAGCCTCACATCTTCCACCCGAACTCTACCTCCAACTCTCCTGGAACTGAGCAGGCTTCAACACTTTTAAGGGTTCCCAGCCCCTTGCCAACCTCTTATTGTGGATTGGCTAGGACCCCTCAAGAGTGCAGCCAGCAACTCCTTGGATACACCCTCTGTCCCTAAGGCCTTCCTCCAAAAGCCCTAGAACAGAGGGAAATTCCAGAGGGGCTAGCCTGCAGAGTCTGCCCTGACCACAATTTGACCCCTCTCTGGCTATTACACCTGGGTTGCTGCTCAGCCCCTGTCTAACCATTGGAGTCTAGCTCCCCCTAGATAAACTAGGAGGGTGCTACAGCTGCTTCAAATGCATTCATTCTTTCCCAAAGCATGCAGTCTAAGCAAAGAAAAAGCAATGTTCCCTAAATGTGTCAAAAGCTCTAACATCTAAACCATCACCCCTCTATCTAACTACTCCTTCTCTGTTGATGTATGAATAGAGCAGTAACACAAGACACGAGGAAGAATAACCAAACTTATGGGGGCAGGCTTGGGCAGCATGCACAGTTAAAATGATTGTAAATGCATTAAACCACTTGCCTACTGAGCACTTATACCCCCTTCCTGCCGAGGCCAATTTTCAGCTTTCAGCACTGTCACACTTTGAATGACAATTGCACAGTCATGCAACACTGTACCCATATGATATTTTTATCATTTTTCTTTCTTTTGGTGGTATTTACTTGCCAATGGGTGTTTTATTTTTTGTGCTATAAACAAACAAAGAGCGAAAAATTTGAAAAAAAAAAGTTTTTCATTGTTTCTATTATGAAATTTTGCATACAGGTAATTTTTCTCCATCACTGATGTGCGTTGATGTGGCTGCACTGATAGACAGCACTGATGGGCACTGATAGGCGGCACTGATGAGGCGGTATGGATAGGCAGCACTGATGGGCACCGATAAGAGGCTCTGATAGGTGGCATTGATAGGTGGCACTGATGATGCTGCACTGATAGACTGCACTAATGGGCAGCACTGATGATGCTGCACTGATGGGCAGCACTGCTGGGTACTGATGGGTGGCACTGATGGGCAGCACTGATGGGCGGCACTGCTGGGTGCTGGGCACTGCTGGGTGGCACTACAGGGCACAGGTGGTGGCACAGGTGGGTGGCACTGCAGGGCACAGGTGGGTGGCACTGCTGGGCACAGGTGGGTGGCACTGATCATTGGCTGTTTACCATATCACGTGATCAGCTACCGGTATGTCCGTAGGACACAGCAATCACCAGCGGCGCTGGGTGTGTGCTACTGGGGGCCCCCGGGGGGGGGCATGTTCTGGAATGACGTCCATGGACGTCATCCCAGGATTACACAACCGTGCTGTAGCCGGCTTTCAGCTATAGTTGGTTGGGAACCACTTAAAATAACAAACCTAAAGCTAATGATTTAGCACAGAGCAGCTCCGGTCCTCCTCTCCTGGAGTCCCTGCTAGTGCTCCTGGCTCCTCCCCCCTAACCGAGTGCCCCCATAGCAAGCTGCTTGCTATCGGGGCACTTGTGCAGGCTTGTTCCTGAGCTATGCTCTCTTTGTCAATAGGCACACAGAGAGTGGCTCATCCTCTCCTCTGATCCCTCCTCACTGTATACCAATTGCTCCTGCTGTTGTCTCTGAGCCCATAAGGAGGGAGATAGCAGAGAGAGACGTTGGTTTTGTGAACATCAATGGATCGAGATAGGGCTCAGGTGGGAAATTGGGCTGAGGGGGAGTTGCATGAAGAAGGGTTTTTTTAACCCTAAAGTGGTTGTAAAGACTCAAGGTAACATACATCAGTGGGGGACCCTTAGAAGAGGAGGATCAGGGCTTCTCTGTGCAAAACCATTCCACAGAGCAGGTAAGTATGACATGTTTGTTATTAAAAAAAACTGCCTTTAATATTACTTTAATGCAGAGAATGCATTAACCATTTCTCGCCAGAGGTACGCATACTGTATATGCGGCCTCTAAGCTGGTGTGCTTTAACGCCAAGTGGCCGCATATATGTGTCTCTGTGTAAACACTTTACTGTGCTGAAAGCACACGCCTATTACAGTACTCGGTGGGTACCAGAAAGCTCCCAATATATACTTGCAGTTGGGAGCTTTCCGATCATGTGGCCACCAGGGGCGGACTGACCATTTGGAAACTCGGGCACTGCCTGAGGTCAGTAGGGGGCCCCATGAGATGCCCCTGGTACCTTTTTTCATAGGCTTTTTTGAGTTTGGGCAAGGACATAGGGGCTCCATGATCCCCTATTGCCCTGGGGCCCCATGAGTTGTCAGTCCGCCCCTGGTGACCACTGTGACTGCCAATCACAGAGGTCACATGATTGGAATGTCCAACTCCTCCTCCTGGCATTTAGAAACTGTTAAAGGGCCAGGAAGTGGTGGTTGGAAGGGGTTAAGGTAAAAAAGAACCTTCTGCCTTTAGGGCCACTTTAAGATTTTGTATTCAGCCTGTGGTCTGGAAAAAAGTAGCAATGCTTTTTAAAATTAAATGTGGTTTGGCAGTATTTTTTTAGCATTGCCATCCCTTCCATTACATATACATGGCTCACTGTATTTGTCTTCAAGCAGACATAAATAATCTGTACATGCACTCTGAGCATAGAAAGCTTTAGTGTACTGCTGTGTAAAAAAAAGGTGTTTACATGGTGAAAAATACAGTCCATGTCTGCTTCAGTTTGTTCTCAACAGGCCAATGACGTGTAAAGCCAACTACAGAATGGTCTGACAATAGCTTAGGTCTGGAGCAACAGATGCCCTATATTTTCTAAACATGGAGAATATAAATGAGCTGAAGGGATTACAGTGCCTTGAAAAAGTATTCATACCCCTTTAAATTTTCCACATTTTGTCATGTTACAACCAAAATTGTAAATGTATTTTATTGGGATTTTATGTAATAGACCAACACAAAGTGGCACATAATTGTGAAGTGGAAGGAAAATGATAAATGGTTTTTCAAATTTTTTTACAAATAAATATGTGAAACGTGTGGCGTGCATTTGTATTCAGCCCCCCTGAATCAATACTTTTTAGAACCACATTTCACTGCAATTACAGCTGCTAGTCTTTTTGGGGATGTCTCTACCAGATTATACATCTAGAGAGTGAAATTTTTGCCCATTCTTCTTTGCAAAATAGCTGAAGCTCTGTTAGATTGGATGGAGAGCATCTGTGAACAGCAATTTTGCAAGTCTTGCCACAGATTCTCAGTTGGATTTTGGTCTGAACTTTGACTGGGCCATTCTAACACATGAATATGCTTTGATCTAAACCATTCCATTGTAGCTCTGGCTGGATGTTTAGTGTCATTGTCCTGCTGGAAGAGGAACCTCCGCCCAAGGTTCAAGTCCTTTGCAGGCTCTAACAGATTTTCTTCTAAGATTGCCCTGTATGTGGCTCCATCTATCTTCCTATACCTTCCCTGTCCCTGCTGAAGAAAAGCATCCCCACAACATGATGCTGCCACCACCATATTTCACAGTGGGGTAGTGTGTTCAGGGTGATGTGCATTTTGCTTTTAGGCTGAAAAGTTACATTTTGGTCTCATCTGACTAGAGCACCACATGTTTGCTGTGTCCCCCACATGGCTCCTTGCAAATTGCCAACAGGACTTCTTATGGCTTTCTTTCAACAATGGCTTTCTTCTTGCCACTCTTCCTTAAAGGCCAGATTTGTGATGTGTATGGCTAATAGTTGTCCTGCCAAAAGATTCTCCCACCTGAGGTTTGGATCTCTGCAGCTCCTCCAGA